GGGAGGGGGCGGGGGGGGGCGGGGCCCTTCCTCTTCTCCACCGACTGTCACAGTCAATTTGTGGAGCTGCCGCTTAGGCTTTTATTAAAGACTCTGTTACTGCTGAGGGAAAGTGGCAGATCGAGACTGGGAGCTGCGCCCCCTCCGCAGGTCCCGTCCCCACTGTTGCCGGGGCGACAGTCCTGCCTTCCACTGAGCATGCCCAGGAGGGGCATCTGCTGTGTCAGGGCTATGGAAGCTGACAGCCAATCAGAGCGGGTCAAACTATGGCGGGGTGTAGGCATGGCGGGGAGAGGCTGGAGCTGAGCGGGCAGAGGATTCGGGAGGCCAAGCAGAACAGGGCAAAAGAAGTTGCTGGCAGGAACGTGTGCACCGAGCCTTTCCCCACAATCCCCAAGTGGCTGAAATATTAATCTGCCCCAAGGCGCTGCAGCTGACGGGGAGCTGTTTCACAGACAGCAAGTGGCATTTTATTAAAAAATAAAGGGAAATGGCCCCCTTCCCTTCACTTGACCTTTCTTTTCGGGGAAGGAGCTTTTTCTAAAGAAAAGAAAGTACTTGACAGTCTGGCCACGGAGCCCAGCGTGGTCCCAGCCTGCAGGCACCTCGCCGGAGGCGCGCGGCCCCGGGCAGTCAGGCCTGACACCCACACTTGGAGTGGAAGGTGGGTCACAGCTGATAGGAGCGTCCCACTGGGAACATGATATTCAGTTTTCAGAATTCAGAGTCCACATTCCAGGAGCTCCCCAAAGCCACTTGCCCAGGGTCCCTAGGGAAACAGGGCTCTGACCCTCCTGCCAAGCACTGGTCTCTCTGGGGGCACTGCGCAGAGCCCTGGGCGGGCTGCAGGGACCCTCAGTCTTGGCGGGTCTCACAGAGGAGCAGGGTGCCCGGGCTCAGAAGCCAGCTGTTGAGGTCCAAGTCTCGACCTGGCCACCTCCCAGGGGGTATACTTGGGGACAGACTATGCCCCACACTGCTCCATCAGCTCCACCAGGCAGGATTTTGTCTGTCTTCTTCCCTGCCATGTCCCCAGCACTGGCTTGGTGCCTGGCCCACCAGCAAGCTGCCCTCAGTGAGCATCAGTGGTTGATGAATGAATGAATGAATGAAGGAAGGAAGGAAGGAAGGAAGGAAGAAAGGAAGGAAGGAAGTGAGCCACGTCCCAGATGTGAGCCGAACTCTTCTAAAGGATTTGACTAATGCTAATTACCCGGATGGGGGAAAAAACAGAGGGAGAGAAGTGAGGGAAACAGAAAAGCCAAAAAAATCCAGAGAAAAAGAGTAAAACATTTTTTCAAGAGCAGAAAACTTGGGAGAAAGGAGAGCCTCTCTCCATGATGAGCCAGAGGAAGGACACAGATGTGACTTGGCGACTCTGACATGGCCGCCAGCAGCCGGGTCTGGCTCAAGTGAAAGGAATTCCAGTTGAAATCCAAGTCCTGGGTCACGCTAGCCAATTTCAAGCACTCAACAGCCATGTGACCAGTGGCTACCATATTGGACAGTGCAGAACAGAACATTCCCACTACCACAGAAAGTGCGACTGGAAAGCGCTGATGGACAGGGAGACCCTGGGAGGGCATCCTTGGCCTTGACGGGCTGTCCAGGCACGAATCCCCTGAGCATCCCTGTACTGTGGCCACCCTGCCACTCGGCTGGACTCACATGCCCTCCCAGGCACCTGGAAGAGGTCCCAGGGAAGCCCGGGACTCCGGGACTGCTCCCACTAGGGGCTGGACTAGTGGGAGCCCCTACTAGCCCAGGGTGACATGGCAGGGTGGGGGGAGCCAGCAGTTGGCCCGGGATGCACAGGTACCCCGTGAGGCCGGGACTGCTGCTTCCCCTTCACAGATGAAAAGAAACAGAAACATGAGTTGCCTGGGGCAGGTGGGCCAGGAAGAGGGGCCCCGAATAGGAAATAAAGAGGATGGAGGCAGAGACCAGGCAAAGAAGGGGGCAGGGAACAGAAGACACTTCTGCCAAACAAACGCCCGCTGCTCGGCTCTGCACCGAGGCCAGAGAGCTCCTGGGGTTGGAGAGGTGCTCGATTCCCAGGCAGGGCCCAGCCTGCTCACCTGGGTCAAAGGTGGCAGAGGGCTTGAGGGCGGCCGCAGCCAGCCGGGCCATCATGGGTGAGATGAGGCCCTTGCTCGCAGAGATCCTCTCCATGATGGAGGCAGGGGGCACCGGGACAGAGGCAGCTGCCGCTGAGGCCGAGTCACCAGCTCCCGAGGCAGCCAGAGCGGGTGTGTCGGGGGTTACTGAGGCTGCTGTCCCTGACGACATGGTGCCCATGAGGCCGGGGGCACCCACGGTCAGGGAAGTGTTGCCCCGGCCCGGGAGGATGGGGAAGCAGGGCGCAGCGCTGGGCAGGCCCGAGCTGGAGAGGGCCAGCGCCAGGGGGATGGAGCCAGGCAGGCCCTGGGCCAGCAGCCCCGAGATCTTGCTGTTGGGAGGCTTGGTGGCACTGGGCCCAGCCTCGGAGGTGGCAGTGGCGGTGACCAGGGAGGCGGAGGACTGCTGGCTGGTGGGGGAGGCGCTGAGGCTGGAGTTCTTGCTGCTCAGGGCAGAGAAGTCAACCAGGTCGTCGTTGCTGGACTCCTCGTGCTCCGTGTCCTTGGCGCCCAGCAGCGAGGGCGGCAGCCCCAGCACGCCCGAGCCTGAGGCGCGAATGTGCCGGCGCTCGTGCTTGCGCTTGTGGGAGGTCATCTGGCTGGTGGAGGTGAAGGTGAAGCCGCAGCCGGTGCGGATGCAGTGGAAGTGGTTGGTGGCCTTGCTGTACACACAGCCCTCATACTTGCACTCCTCGTACTTGTAGAACTTCTTGAAGCCATCCTTGGCGTAGGCGTCGTCCTTGATGTGGTAGCTCTTGTGCTTCTCGATGTCACACTTGTTCTTAAAGGTGAATGTGCAGCCGGGGCGCCTGGCAGGACATCGGGAGGCTGTCATGGGGCCTCACGGGGCCAGGGGGAGGCCCTGCCCTGCTCCCGCGGTGGCCCTGGGAGGGATGGGCCTCTGGATGGAAGGCCAGGCCAGAAACTAAGGCGGGGCCTCCGAGCAGCCCTCTGCTCCTGTTCCTACACCCCTGAGGAGGTGGGGCCCCGAGCCATCCACGGGCCTGGTGCCCTGCCTGCCATCCCTCCCCGGGCCAGGAGGCCTCCCTGGCTGCCTCCCGCTCACCTGCAGTGGAAGTGCGTGGTCTTCTGCCCGTAGAACTGGCAGTCGGCCGTGCCGCAGTCCTCGGTGGCTCGGAAGCGCTGGAAGCCGTCGTTGATGAGCTGGGTGTTCTTCTTATGGAAGTTCTCGTGGGTCATCACGTCCGATGTGCTCGTGTACACCTTGTTACAGCCCACCTGCAGGGGCCGGAGTGGCAGTCAGGGGAACTGAGGCCAGGCACCCTGGCGAGGTCAGAGCGGCTGTGCTGCTGGGTGCAGCTGAGCCTGCTCAGGGGAGCTTCGGCACCTGTAAACGTCTGACTGGGGGCACCGAGGTTAAGGTAGGACGACCCTGCAGGCCCCCAGGGCCTGGCCCGTGCTGGGCGTGGGTCGTCCTCATAGAGAGCCCTGGATATGTCCCCACACAGACGTGGGAGTCCCATCCTGCAGGAGGTGGCTTGGGGGTCCCCAGTCTGTGGCTCTACCTCTAAAGCCCCCGGGGGTGAGCAGGGCTGGACCCTGGGGCCTGGCAGTCACCTGTAGGCCGGGGACTTGTTTGGCGAACAGTTTCTGGCACAGGGCCTTCCCTACCCCACCCTGGCTGGGCCAAGGCAGGCAACGTTGCCATATTGAGTAAAAACCAGTGGAATCTGAACACTCTTGAGGGCTGGACCGTGCCAGTGTCTGCACCATCTCAGAGCCCAGAGAGCGAGCCCCCCTCTCCTCCTGGCCCAGGTTGTTTCACGGAGGCCATAACAACCCCCTGACAAATACCGGGGGAGGCGCAGGGCTGCTATTTGCAAACCAAAGTCGCTCCCCACCAGACCTGACACCTTGAAAAAGCCCAGACTCTGCGTGGCATTAAAACAAAGAATTAAACAAAAACCTCCTCAGGAACCATTTGCAATGCTGCTCTTGGTGTTAAAGGCTGAAAAATGTCGGTCTGTATAAACAGCTCGCTGAATTTCACCCGCACCAAGTATGGCCATGGGGAAGGCCCCACCCTGGCCCACCGGACACTGCCCAAGCCTGAGCCCCTGGGCCTCTCTCCTCTGGCCGTCCAGCCCTGGGAAGGGACAAAGGGAGGGGCCCTGCCGGAGGCAGGCCTGCCTCTGGGGGTGGGGAGGGGGGAGGGCGGGGCACCTGCATGCAGTGGTAGTGGGTGCTTTTCCCGTTGAGGTGGCAGCCGTGGTAGTAGACGCTGCAGTCGTCCAGTGGGCTGAAGCGCATGAAGCCGTGCTGCAGGGAGTTGTCCCGCTTCTTGTGCATGTTGTAGTGCCGGATCACGTCCTGCTTGCTCGTGAACCTCTGCCGGGAGAGGGCCTGGTGGGCAGGAGGCTGGGCCTGGCCCCAGGGCCCTCCGGTCTCCTTATAAATCATCCTGTTGGGTCGAGGCAGCCCAGACTGCCCCAAGGCCAGCACCCTGGACTTTGGAGGGAACAGTTCCAAAGGTTCCAGAGCCACAGACCCTTCCCTGACCTCCCCGTAGTCTCCCCATCAGCAGGCCCAGAAGCAGAGAAGATAAATCGGGCCAGGCCTCTCAGGGAGGAGCTCTGATAGGTGACAACTCGTTCCGTCTACTGCCACCTGTGGGCTCTGCCAAGCTGGGCTCCCTGGGGAGACAGAGGCAGTGGCCTCATGCAGAACACCTGCACCCACCTCCCGCCTTTCGCTCACTTGCTCTGCACCTACCAGTGGGTGGCTTTGAACGTAAGGGCCGATCTGTCTGAACCTCAACACAACCATCTATAAAATGGGGCAGTTATACCAGCCTCTTAAGGACACTGGGAAGACTCGATTAGATAAGGTAGATGCCTGTGGGCAGCAATCTGGGAACGAGAACAGGCTGGGAGCTTTTCTGGGCTCTCTGCCTGTCCAAGTCAAATTCAGGTGGCCCAAGCAGAACCGAGTAACCTCGTCCTGCTTTCAAGAGGCCCCTCCGCTGCTGTGCCAGCCCGCAGGAGCAGGGCTGGTGCCCGTGGGACATACCTGGTAGTTGCACTCGGGGTCGAGGCAGTGGTAGTGCTCGCGGTACTGGTAGGCGCAATGGATGTGGCCACAGTGCTGACTGCCTGAGAACCTGCAGGGAAGAAAGGATGGGCTCAGGCCTCTCTGGATACCAGCTCCAGGGTCCTCGGCCTGAGCGGCTGAGCAGAGTCCGTGCCCCTGATCCAGGGAACTGCTGTTGCGGTTCAGGGGCCCTGGGTGGACATGTGCAGGGGCAGAGGTGGTCTGCTGGGGTGAAGGAGCAGAGGCTGAGAAGGCTAGGGCGAGTGACGGGGCCGCTGGGAATCCCAGACCCACTGAGCTGCAGACCCAGCCTTATCTGCCCCGGGAGGGAGTGCCAGGTGGGGCACAGAGGCCTGGCACCAAGATGGGAGGAGGAAGCTAGGCCAAGCCAGAAGCCAGAGCAGGGTCAGCGGAAGAGCCCTGGGATGGGATGGGATGGGATGGGATGGGATGGGATGGGATGCTGAAGGCATGAGCCCCCAAGGTGGCCCAGTTGCCGTTTCTGCAGGTGCTGCCCGCCCACCCCTGACTCGGTGCTGGGCCAGGTGCTGGGGACTCCAGCTGCGCCAGCCCGGGGCTCTGTTGCTAAGAGGTCTTAAAGGGCTCTCTCTGTTCTGGGCTTTCCTGACACTTGAAACAGTCCAAGAGTTATGAATTTTTAAAGCGCAGCATCTGTTTGGCTTCCCGTGGCAGGGAGCGCGCTCTCTGGCCAACTCCGCAGCCAGGAGCCCCGTGCTGCCTGGCCACCACCTGCCCTCCCAGAATACCCCAGGCCTTCTCCAGGCCCCGACGCTGCCAGGGCGGGGGGTCTCACAACCTGGACGATGGCCACCGGGGACAGCGCCCCGTGACAACTGTGGACAAGGTGGTGGGCTCAGCCCGCCTGCCCCACTGCGCTGCGCATGGTGTGGGGCTGCGGGAGGGAAGCCCCTCGTGAGGGGAGAACCTCTTGCAAATAAATATTGAAGCTGCCAAAAGGGCCATCTGCTGAGGCACTAATAATAATGGTAATAACAATGATAAAGAGAGCAGAGCAAAGCTGAAAAGACAGGGAGGGACAGGGGAGGGAGACACAGAGAGCGACGGCAAAACTGTGGGAGATCAACAGAAAGACAGCTGCCAGGGCACAGCCCCGGCCTTGTGCTGCATCCCCAGGGGCTGGGTGCCGGGGGGGGGGGGGGTCTGGAGTCAGGTGGTGAGGGAGAGCACACTGAGGCCACCTGCCCACATCCCTTCTCATCCCCAACTGTTCCACAGGGGCCTGCAACCCCGCCTGCCACCCGCCCCACCCCTCCCCGACCCGGCCCCAAGTGGAGCCTTTTTAAAAATTTTTTTTAATTAATTAATTTATTCATTTATTAAATTTATTTATTTTTTGCTGTGTTGGGTCTTCGTTGCTGCACACGGGCCTTTCTCTAGTTGTGGTGAGCAGGGGCTACTCTGTTGTGGTGCGCGGGCTTCTCATTGCGGTGGCTTCTCTTGTTGCGGAGCACGGGCTCTAGAGTGCAGGCTCCGTAGTTGTGGCACGTGGGCTTAGCTGCTCTGTGGCATGTGGGATCTTCCAGGACCAGGGCTTGAACCCTTGCCCCCTGCATTGGCGGGCGGATTCTTAACCACTGCGCCACCAGGGAAGCCCACAGTGAGCTGTGGAGGCGGGGACCTGCACCCACCTGTGGCCAGGCCCTGCCTTAGGGCCCTTTCAGGTAGCCCAGTCCTGCCTGGGGTACAAGCTGCTTAAGGGCATGTGGCCTGGACCACATCAAGGGGGCGGGGGCTCTGAGACGGGGCAGAGGGCAGGCCTGGGGAGGGTTTGGAATCTATAAATGTGGTTTCACATGAGGAAAGCAATGGTCCCGCTCAGTTCTGCTCTAGTCCAACTATAGGCAGACAACCGTCATTCCTGCCCCCACCCACCTTCTCTCCATGGCAGTCTCCTCCCCAGGGGCCTACCTGGCAATATATTTCTGGTAAATGTTTACATCTTCAGTGACAGCTGGTTTATCTGTGGGCAATCCGTTCCTGGTGAGAGACACACAGGGCACAGCTGATTAGCAGACGAGGTGGCCTCATGCCCCAAGAGTGTCTGGGGGCAGCTCCCTGCCCTGGGACCCTGGCTCTTCTCTCGCTCACTGTGTAGTGTTCTGGGAGCTTAGGGTGGGACTGGAAAAGTCCTTCGGCAGAAAACTAGCACAGGTTCAATTAGCCCACCTTTGGCGAGGGCTGGGCCGTCTTCAGCTGGCAGGGCTGGAGGGCCCTACCTTGGGCGTGGATCTGACCTAGAGTTCAACAGCACAGGAAGCCTGGGAAGCTGGGGCCTGGCCACCTTGCACACAGAGAGTCAGGATGCTGCTGGCTGAAGAGGGGTACCGGGTACCACTGGGGAGGACGCCAAGGGAAAGTGCAGGAACGGCACCAAGCAAGTGTGGCTGGGTGGTCGGAAAGGCCTCCCCGACGCCGAGGGCAGCTCCCTAGATCTACCCCCAGGTTTCTGGACCCGCCTCCAGGAGGGATGGCTGAGGGTAAGGGTCTCACTCAGCCCCACACATTGATCCATCCGTTATTTTGCCGTGGTCTAGGGCTTTGCGCTGGGTGTGCCCACCCCACCCCAGCCTCCTACCTTCTCTTGCTGCCTTCCCCATGGCGCAGGCTCTGAACCTGGGAGCCCTGGCCACCAGCCTGGAACCCAGAAGCCCCAGCCCAGAGTAGGGCTTTCCCAGCCAGCCATAAGTCGGCAACTGGCCCTCACGGTGGCAGGCAGAGAAAGCCTGTCATGGGCACATGGGGGTTACAGTACCCTGTGGCGTGTGTGTTAGCAGATGAGCACGTGCACAGAAGTACAGGCAGACCCTGGAGATACTGCAGGTTCACTTCCAGACCACCGCCATAAAGTGAGTATCGCAATAAAGCGAGTCACACGAATTTTCTTTTGGTTTCCCAGAGCATAGAAAAGTTACGTTTACACTACACTGTAGTCTGTTAAGTGTGCAATAGCATTATGTCTGAAAAAGCAATGCATATGCCTTAAATAAAAAACGCTTTATTGCTAAAAACTGCGGATCGTCATCCGACAGTGCAGGGTTGCCACAAACCTTCAATCTGTAAAAATACGCAATATCTTCGAAGCGCAATAAAACAAGGTGTGCCTGTACCCGCTGTGAGAGCGTGTGTGCGCACAGCAAGATGTATAGTGTGCGGGTGCATGAACTGAGTCTCAGCGATTATGTAGGCAGAGGAGTGTGCGCGTGCGCGCGTGTGCGGAAGCATGTGTGTGAGAATCTGGGTGCACGGTGGATGTGCATAAGGTGTGGGTGTGTGTGTCCATAAGTGTGAGCTTCGGAGGCAGGAAGCGGGCCTCCGGGCCACTCCAGTCCTGGGTGCAGGGCTGGCAGTGAGGGTGGTGCACGCCTTACTTGACAGTGGAGACGGTCCCCGTGGTGATGGAGTCTGTTTTGGAGAAGGTTGACTTCAGGTACTCGGGAGTGTTGAAAGGCAGGGAGGCAGGTGGCTCAGGGCCTGGCCCGGGGGCACTGGGAGCAGTGGGCACGCTGGCGAGGGGTGCAGGAGCCAGGCTGGGGGTGGGCGGAACCTTGGCGGGGCCCGGCTTCTGGATGGCCCGGACGTCGTACTTGGAGGGGCGCCCCACCTTGCCCGTCTTGAAGGCGATGGCCCCTCCCATGTCGGGGCTGCCCTCCCCGGGTTTGAAGAGGTGCAGGTACTTGACGTTCTCCAGGTCGTACTTAGACGGCTTCTTGTAGGCGCTCCCATTCTGGGGCCGCAGGTTCTCACCCGTCTTCAGTCTCTGGATGAAGAAGTCGTACTTGGAGGCACGGGCCACCAGGCCCTGCATGGGGACACTGCTGTGTGAGGGCAGGGGCAGGATGGTGGCCTTGGTCTCCAGGTGCGCGGTGCTACTGGGCAGCCGCAGGCCAGGCAGGGGGCCCAGGGCCTCCTTGCCGGCCCGCCCCTCGGCTGTGGTGCCGTGGGCCGGCCAGGACAGCTGCTCGCCGGCCTTGAGCTTGCGGATGTACTCCTCATACTTGGAGAACCGCGCCCGCTTGCTGAGGGCGTCCTCGGAGGCGGGCAGCGCGGAGGAGGTGGCTGCCTCCTGCGTGGAGCCCGCGTGCAGCTTCTCGAAGCTGATCTTCCCGGCCAGCTCGTCCCTCGTGTTCTGGTCATCATAGCCAAACATGCCAAGGAACTCGGTCATGGTGGAGGCCGCGTAGTCCCGCAGCGAGGAGGCCTCTCCTGTGGCAGGGAGGAGAGGGGCCGTCACCTCTGGGAGGGAGCAGGGTAGCCCAGGGACAGGACCTGCCCCCCCCCCCCCCCCCCCCCGTTGCCAGCCTGCCACAAACCCCGGGCCCCCCCCCCCCCCCCCCCGCCGCAACCGCCGCCCTGCCCACAGAGGGAGGGGGCCGGCCTGGGGAAGGGTGGAGCGGGACATGATCTATGGACATTTGGCTCACTTGTTAGGTTTTACGACTCTTAAATTAATTTGTTTAAAAAAAAAGTAATTAATACTGGGGTAAAATAAAACTAGCTCATCAATGCCAGGAAAATCAATTTCCTAAATGTTCTGGCCGATGGCTTTTCAGTACATTAAACAAAGTTTCATAAATGTCTCCGCTCTCTTGCCTTGGCCTAATATGAAGGAGAAGTCATTTTCCTGGAAGTAAGGCCAGATCCCAACCTGCCTCCCAGGGTGGGGGTGGGAATGGGGGCTGGGGACAGGTAGGGCTGTGAGCCAGGGGCTGGGCAGTCAGGAGGGACCCCAGGGGCTGAGGGAGCCACTGGGGATGGGGTCAGGGGTGGGCCTGGCTGAGCCTGCCTGGAGGACCCTCCCAGGCCCCCACAAATGGACACACAGGCCCCTTATCCCTGGGAGGATGAGAGGTTTGCCCCAAGCCTCCTCAGGACCTGTCCTCTTGGCCCTTCCCGGCCCCCCGCAGGCTGCTGATGGCCCCAGACAACAGGGCCGACAGGCAGAGAGCCTGCGGATGTGTTCACTCAGCCTCCCTCAGGGCCCGCCCACCCCAGCCAAGACTTATGACGTAGAGAGTCCTTCAAACCTCCCTGCCGCCTTCTGGTCACTTGTGCTCACGCACGAGGGCGGGCCACCGAGGAGAGTCAAGGCCAGAGAGGCAGTGGCTGAGTCTGGCCCATCTATCACCCCACTGTCCACAGTGGGGCACACGGAGAATCCACCGAAGCAACCTCCCCACAGGGACATGCATGCACGCATGCACACTCAAGCTCGCAGCCCTAGCGACCTTCCCCGCCCACACACACACGTGTACACAAACCACTCCAAACTCCACAGTCAGCTCCCCAAGATGAGTCTCAGGATGGCGGGGGCAAGATGACCCCGTTCTGCCTGGCGCTGTTCACTGGAGACAAACCCCTTCCACACACAACCTTCCGCCACAATAGGCCTGCGACTCCCCAGCACACGCGTTCCTGCACAGAACACTCGCTGAACACCGACTGTGTGCTACACCCTGAATCAGGAGTGGGTACACACAGGTGGGTGAGACTCACCTGGGCCCCAGGGCACATGCGTGTTCTCTCCACTCATGTCTGAGCCTGCACACCCAGGCACACAGAGCGGCAGGACCCCAGGCTGGGGGTCCTAAAAGCACGGCCAGGGGAAGGCGTGGCCGAAGCAGGGGTGGGAGGACCAGGACCCAGCAGGGCAGCCGATGAGGGCTTTCCTCCCAACCACACCTGGAAGTGGTCTGAGAGCGGGGCTGGGCTCTGGCACAAGAGAGAACCTAGAAGCATGTAGAAAGAGCCTCTGAGCTCCTGGGAGGACAGGCAGGAGGGTAGTCCTACGGGGACCGGGACGCGCCAGGTGCGGAGACAGGACAGTCACGGGCAGCACCTGGCACACAAGGTGGGCAGAGCGACTCAAGGAACCGACGGAGAGCTGTTCCTCTGGGCGGGGTGGCCGGTGGGCTGCTGTCCTGACCTCAAGCTACTTGGGGTTGGGGACCCAGTCTGGGAGGAGTGGGCCCTGGCTGCTAGATTCAGTGGCTCAGGGACCAGGGAAAGGGGCTAAAAATAGCTGGAGGCAGCTGAGCCCTCACTATATATGGCAGAGAAACAGAAGGCTCTGAAGGGCAGGCGGCTTAGAGCAGGGAGGGGGCCAGGCAGGGGTCCCAGGGGCAGCCCAGAGGCCTGCATTCCCAAGCCCATGGTGGGCAGCCTGGGCTCCGGCTGCCTGGCTCCAGTGCCCGGGCTGAGCAGGCTGCCCTGGGTGTCACCCTGCAGTCCCACTGGGCCTCAAACCCGAGGGGCGAGGCCTGCAGCCACGAGGGCACTGTTAGTTCTAGCCCCGCCTCCTGCCATCCTAGCTCTCCACTCTCCCGGGAGGTGCTGGGGCGCCGAAGGGACAGTGGCCCTTGTCCCTGTCCCTCCCCTCTCCTCAGGCCCAGCGCAATCACCTTGCGGTCTGGGAACGGCAAGGGCTTTTCCTATCAGAGGAAACTGAAGGTCACACTTTTCCTCATTGATCTTGCAATGTTTGTTAATTACTCTGTCACTGATGTGGCGAAGGATAATTAAACAGCTCTGTTTATATCTTATATGCATAATTATGTGGCTGCGCAGGGCTCCCCGCGTAGGGAGGAGATGCGCCCCTCGCTACAGGGGAAGGGGATCGGGAAGCAGGCAGGGAAGGCTCGGGGCACCAGGCACAGGCTGGGAATGTGGCTGGGGAGCTGAAAAAAGACCCCAGGCCCAGAGTTCCAGTCCTAGCGGAGACGCCCTCCCTCCCCAGAGCAGAAGGAGCTCTGCATCTAAGGCCAAGCAGACACCAGAAAAGCCAGCTCTTAGCCATCTCGTGGGAGAGACGTCAGCCAGGGGACCGCGTCTGGGGCAGGTGGGTGTAACGGGATATGCCGGCTGGGTGTCGCTCCCCACATGCACGTCCAGGTACTGCGCCCCCCAATAGGCTCCTCCCTGTGCAGGTGCGTGTGGACAGTCTACCCACACGCCGTCCATCCATCCGTCCCTCCATCCATCTGTCAGCCTGTCCACCAGTCCATCCGTCCATCCACCGCTTCCTGAAGACCCACTGTGTGTTCGGCAGCCCACCCCAGCCCGCACACACGTCTGGGAAGCTGCCTTCTCAGGCCCTTCCCTCCTCACCCCTGCTGCCCCTGAGGGAAGAGGGCGCGCGCTGTGGCCACACACACACTTCCTCCCCACCGGGCCGCCCTCCTCGTGGGGTTCTGTCCCGTCCGGGGCTTAGACACCCACCTGAAGCCTGCTTGGCACTGGGACCACTATCATCCTTGGAGGCTGCCCCGTCCGAGTCCTTCTCCATGACGCTGCCATCCTTGGGAGGCTCCTCGCCGTGGTCTTCCTCGTCGCTGCAGCCCTGGGGCTGCACCATGTAGACGCCCTCGGGTGGCAGCTCCAGACCCTCCCGGGCAGTCCGCCCCAGCACGGGTGTGGGTGCCGCCTCCTCGCTGTACTCCCCGTTCACCCACTTCTCAATCACCGCCCGCCTCTTGTCCTCTTCGCTGCGGGGGGCCCGGGCCACCCCCGACTCAGGGCCACTGCGCACTTTGTCCCGGGGCCGCAGTGGGCTGTCCTCGGCCTCCGCTCCCTTCTCCACCACCACCTGGCGGCTCAGCTTGGCGCAGATGGCGTTGAGCTTCAGGCCGCCTTTGCGTTTGGCCGCCATCGCGGGCTTGCCTGCAGGCGGGTCAGGGCACCGGGTGCCTTCAGCTGCAGGGACGGAGGAGAAGGGTCAGAGGCGTGTGTGCCAGGCCCGGCCACCCACCTGGACAGCCGGGGCGGACGCCCTGCCCCCGCATCCCCCAAGCCAGAGGTCTCTCTCTCCCCAGTGACGGTTCCACCGGCCCGCCCCAAGGCCAGGGTGCGTTTGTCCCCTCACTAGACCGTAAGCTCTATCCTCAGAGCCTGGCGCATACTAGGGGGGGTTCAGGAATATTCTGTAAACGAGCAAACGAATGAATGAACGAGTGAATGAACGAATGACTCTTCAAACGCAAGGGGCAGTCTTCTTCCCAGCACCTGGCTTCTGGAAGCATCTCCTCCCCTTGTTTGGCCCCAGGAGGCAGGACAGACATGCCACAGGACCTGGCTCCGCCTTCTCTGCCTCGGCCAGCTCCTGCTGCCCTGGAAGGCCTGGCTGGTCCCATGAGGCCCACTTTCCAGCCCTGAGAAGCTGGGACAGGTTGGGATTCCTCAGATCCCCAGCGGGAAGCCCAGAGGCTGCAGTTACGGGGCCTAATCTCTCAACACGACAGCCCAACGCAACCGGCCAGGAACTGTTAACTAGGCTGCCCCAGCGCTAGCCACCTCCCTCACGGCTGCTGAGCGGGGGCGCCCAGGGTCCTGGGGGGTAAATGGCAAGACCACTAACCATACCGCCTGGGACCCGCCACAAAGGCCAACAAAAGTGGACACATCTCCACCTGTTTATTTGTATATCCCGTCTGTCCGCCCATTCACGTAGTGAGCTCCTACTGTGCGCCAGACCCCGAGGTGGTACCAGGGGCGGGCGGTGGCCATGGCAGAGTCTTGGCTTACATTCCCTCCGTGTGCACAGGGAGCCCCACTGAATGCTCTCAAGGCAGGGCTCCTCCGTGCGGCCCTCAATAGAGAGGTGGGCATGGCCGAGTCCCCACACAGGTCAGAAGGCTAAGCAAGGGGACTCTGCTCCCAGATCCATGGTCAGAAGGGGCTTCACTATAATAGATCGAGACCCTAAAAACCCACACGCCTGGAACGCACCGAGAGTATTACTCAGACAGGGACGGCCACATCTGTGCCAGGACCTCATCTACAAGTAGACTTGGCTTGCACACACAGATAACGGTGGCCCCCCGATACAGACAATGCCCAGCTGCCCCAGACCCTTGCCTCGAAGCCAGCTGCCCAGGGATCCCAGCCCAGCCCAGCCCAGCCCAGTTCTCCCAGTCCTGCAGCCCTGGCTCTGCCGGGCCCCACCCTCACCCCTAGCTGGATGCCCACTCTACCCACATTTGTCCACATCTCCAAGTCTGTGCTGCCCACACCCAAAACTCCAAGCATCATCATGGGTTCCTTCTCAAAGCTCAGTGATGGGGCCCCTCATCATGCCATCCCACCCGGCCTCAGGGCCAACCGCCAGGCTCCGTGACACCAAGTTTCCTCCAGCAGGCCTATGGGGAGCTGGCCTCACCTGGCCTCACCTGGCCCCCTTGGTCCCCGGCCCTGGTGGAGAAGGGAAGGGTGGGAGTGGGGAGCCTGCTCTATTTTTACCGGGAGGTAAGCAGCCAAGTGTGTATGGCAGACGGCAAATGAATCTATAAATATTTATCCCAAGGAAGAGGGAAGCAGAAGCTCCCAGGGCTGCACTTGCTGCTGGTGACACCCCCTCCCTGGGCCCCCACCCATCCTGGAGCCTCCTGGCACTTGGGCCCACCCAGCCCCGCCCACCCGCTCCTGATCTCGGCTGTGTGCCTGCCTCAGTCCCTCACGGGCCCCCGCCAGCTGCGATGCAGCTGTGCACCCAGGGCCCACCCCCCTGCCCGCAGGCCCCTTTGCTCCGCCCATGCCCCCTACACCTGCCCTCCAGCTGCTGCTCTGCCCCAGCCCACCTGCCTTCCAGATGTTACCCTCCCTCTGACTCTACTGCTGGTCCCAGGGGTGGCGGTGGAGAAGGGGTGTGGGCCTGGGGTGCAGGGCAGGAGGCAGAAGCAGGCCTTACTCAAAAGTGCAGACGCGTGTGAGTCTGGGGCTGCGAGCTGAGGTCCAAGGTGCCTGCCCGCCCGTCTTCCGGCCCACCCTGTGGGGCCTTATCCCCTCCCCCTCCATCAGGGCCCTGGGACCTGCAGACTACCCCCGTCGTGGTCTGACCCCAGGCTCCTGTCCATGTAAACATTCCCTTGACTTTCTTCCCTAAAATATAAACGCCGTGGCCAGGCCTCAATGGGAGGAAGCCATCCGTCCCCGGCCCTGTCACTGCCCCTTTCATCTCCTTCCCGCCACCAGCCTGCCCGCTGCTCTATTTACACTGGACACTTCCTCTGGGAACAATACTGCCCAGGAGGCAGGCTTGGGCCGGAGGGTGGGAAGGCGTGGGGGCTGCCGTACCGCTCACCCAGGGCCGGGCTTCAGAGAGGAGGCGAGGGGCGGGGCGGCTGCAGGGAGCCCAGCCAGGCCTGGGGAGAGGAGTGGGTCAGTATCTGCACGCAGGCAGCCAGCCCAGGGCTCCCCCAGCCTCCTGCCTCGGGCCCAGTGATGCCGGATGGGCCAGGGCGAGCCCTGGGAGGTGGCACAGCACCATGGTATGGGCTGGGTTTTGGGGTCAGACAGTCGTGAGTTCACGGCCTGGCTCCGGCCCCTCGCTAGCCCTGGGCCCTGGTCGAGCTTTCTCCCCGTGAAAAGGGCTGCAGGACTGTAAGATGAGAGAGGGTGCTTGTCTGTGCCAAGCACAGGGCCTGACAGTCAAGGACCTGGGGAAAGGCAGCCGAGCCCTGGGAGGGGACAAACAGGCAAGTGTGGTGCCACATCTGGGCACAAGATCCCTAGACCAGGAAACCACACCTGGCCCAGAAGAGGCAGAGGGGACAGGAGAGGTTGGAGGGCTGGGCCGCGGGCAGGCTGCCTACTCAGCAACAAATGGCCCCTCGCCGGCTCCCACAGTCTGAGCCTCCCCTCCCAGGGCTCCAAACGCAACAAGCCCCCAGCAGGCAGGCAGCTCTGTCTCCAAGCTGAGTGGGTCCTGCTCAGGGTGGAGAAAGGGAGGGGCGAGAACTGGACTGTCCCTGCACCTGTTGGACGCTAGTTCACGACCTCTCACCATGATCCCGTGAGGCAGGTACAGTCGTCGTCCCGTTTGACAGAGGAGGGGACTGATCCTGGAGCCGTGAAGACACTCCAGAGCCCGAGCTCATGAAGGCCGGGGCTCAGCAAGGTGCGGGGCCGCCACCATGTCCCCACAAAGGCTCCAGGAAGTCCCAGGCCTCCCTGCCCACCTCCTCCTCACCTTCACTCCCGGTTCCCATAACACGGAGCCCCCTAAAGTGTTAACTGTGATGGGTAAAATGGTGCAGCAGATTGCTACAATAAATAATTTACTGATATTTATAAATATGCAAATCAGCCAGCTTCAGAAATCGAATGAAGGGAGGGCCTCGGGAGAAGGGCCCGCTATGGCAGGAATCTCATCACTCCCTCCAAAGGCTGGGGAAGGCCGGGGCTCCTGCCAGTTCCGAGGGAGAGAGGGGGGCTCCTGTAGCTGCACCTGGGCCCCTCATCCCTGATCCCTGGGGACTACGGGGGTGGCTGGAGCGGCCACTTCCTCGCCTGGTCAGGGCCAGGTCCTCCCCTGCCCTGGGCAGCCTGGGCTCAAGGGGACCAGAGGCTCCAGTGCCCACTGCCCATGGCTGGGTACCTCAGAGTCACTTGTCCTGCCTTGGAGGTGGGGGTTAGTCCCCAGGGGCTGGGCAGGCCTGGCAGCCCCTCCCCACCAGTGAGTAATGTGTTTTGGGGCCGGGCGGACTGTCAGCTACCAGGCTCCGGGTGCTTTATGGGCTCTGCCTGGTGGCTCTGAACTCCCTGGTAGGAAATAAAGTTCTCCCTGCGTGTCCCTTCTAAACATTTCACTCAGTGGAAACGGTGTTTAAGAAAAATGAGGACATATTTCTTCCTAAGGATGCAGTGTCCCCTTTGGGCGGCCTAATGCCCGCTGTATATCAAGAAGTGGTGAGGCAGGGGCCAGGCACCCATCCCCTCGGGTTGGGGTGGTCTGGGCCCTCCTGCCTGCTGCCAGGCGGCTTGGGGGCCGTGGGCACCACTGGGTCACTCTGGTGGCTGCCCTGGCCCACACTGCCTAGAGCAATATGGCAGCTGGCACCCTCTGAGCACTACCCCCTGTGCTGGGGACAGTGCTGGGCAACTCAGAGCATTGCCTCAGTGGTCCTCTAGCATCCCCATACGGCCGCTGTCCTATCCCTGTTTCTGGGTGAGAAAGCAGAGCTCACAGAGGTTGTCAACTGTCACGGTCACCCAGAGAGTGTGCCAGAGCCGGACTCCCACTGGGCTCCGATGTCTCACCGTCTGAGACCCCACACATACCTCCCACAGCCTCCCAGCTAGGGTGGCAGCAATGTTGGAGCTTCCCTGCAGCCCCTAAGAACTTGAACCTGACAGGCCACAAGCCCCAGTGCTGGGGTGCTGCGCCTATGTTCAGGCTCTGGGCTGAATTCTGAGGATATGAAATGAGCAAGCGGACTGTCCTGGTTCCTGCCATGACGGACTGTTCAGTTTAGACGAGGGGGCAGACGTTCAAGTCATTACAAGCGTGATCACTGCGGTGAAAAGTCTCGGTGCCCCAGGAGCGGCGAGTCTGGGAAGCAAGGAAGGGTTCCTAGAGACATCTGTTCCGGCCCTGCTCCCCACGAGCTCCCTCAGGACCACCCCCCCCCCCGCCCCCCCCCCATTACAAGCGTGATCACTGCGGTGAAAAGTCTCGGTGCCCCAGGAGCGGCGAGTCTGGGAAGCAAGGAAGGGTTCCTAGAGACATCTGTTCCGGCCCTGCTCCCCACGAGCTCCCTCAGGACCCCCCCCCCCCCGGCCCCTCCCCTTCCCCCTCCACACAGCCCATCTCCATCTTAACAGCTCCTGCCCCATCTCCCCAGCCAGGACCTGTTCCCGAGGAGAAGGGTGTCCTTCCCTCTTGGGCCCAATCCCATGCCTCGTTTTTTGCAGGTGGG